TAGATTGTTATACGCCAGCGATATTTTCTTCAGTCTCCGCAGTCCAGCGAAGGCCTTCTGGTGGAAGGAGCTGATCTGTGACTTTCTCAGCGTCAGGTCGGTCAGCTTGACCATATCCTTGAAGGCGTCCTCGGGGATGTAGGTGATGTCCGATCCGACGATCTCCAGAACAGACGTGTTGGTCAGCACGGAGAGCGCCTCCACGGGCACCTCTGTCAGCCTCGTGTCCCACATGGTCAGGTTGAGCAGCGTGTTGTTGATGCCCAGGAAAGTGTCGGCGCCGATGGTCCGTATCGGCGTGTGCTCGATGTGCAGCGATCGTGCCGACACCGAGTGGAAGAGACTGCCGTGCAGCCGGCTGATGCTGCAGCGGGAGAGTGTCAGCGAGTCGAGCGGCACGCGCACGTTGCGCAGCGCGGCCGACAGCTGCGCCAGGTTGGAGTTGTCGCAGCGCAGGTGGATGCCCAGGTCGCCGCCGGCCGTGCACACGCACGGGTAGTGCAGGATGGCGCGCTGCGGACACGTGAAGCGCGGCGGCGGCGGCTCCCACTTGGCGGCGGTGGGTACCGCGGCCAGCGCCGCCAGCAGCAGCGCGGCCAGGCAGCGGTACAGCATGGCGACGGCTGAGGGCGGGCGGAGGAGGGAGTCAACGGAGGGCATGCCAGTCAGGCAGCGGTACAGCATCGCGACGGCTGGGGGCAGGCGGGGAGGGGGTCAGCACTAGCAGTGGGTACATACAAGCACAGCCAGGCAGCGGCACAGCATGGCGTCGGCTAAGGATAGAGGGAGAGGGTCGGCAAACGGTACAGAATGGCCAACAGCGTCACGACGATGTCTTGGAACGGGGGAGCGCTGGGATGGGGGATCAGCAGAATCTGCGGCATGACTGGCTGGAGAATCGATGGTTGATGACTGCTAAAGGAAGGAGGTTCAGTTGAAGATAAAACAGGACGGGAAAGTTCGCCGTTGAGCTGTGCTTGAACAGAGATAGGAAAGGCCAAACCATATTATCTTCCATCTAAGTAGATAGGCAAAACTGACAACTGACTTAATGTTTTCGATGCGCGCAACTAACAGTGGCAAGCAGCAAAACCTGTCTCTGCCCGCGGGCGCAAAACTCTAGCCACGATAGCGACACCTACCGCACTTGATTTTCTGCGACGCATTAAACTATCTTGAATTTCACTTCCGCCAGATGCGTGGCTTTCACTAACCTATGGTAAGACGTCTGTCTTCAAAAACATTTTCAAGAATGCATTCTAACTCATCGTAACACCATATGTTAGTTAAAAACGATGGACCAGAAGTGCCCATCTCCGCACCAAAGTGTAGCAAGGTCACGGACGCTTTCGGGCAGAGAGAAATCAAGGTCAGTTGGGATTTCTCCTCTCCCCATCATATATCCGAAGTCCCCATGTTATCCCCTCCCTGCACCAACAAGAGCTAACACTGTCTCACCTGTATCCAGTCCAGCTGTGTTCAGGTCCCCTCACACGCACACGCACATTCAGCGGTATCGGTGTGTCGCGGTGTCGCTCCGTGCTCTCGGCAGACTCTGTCGATGTCGGCGGCTGTGCCGGGTGAAAGTGGCCCCGCCCGCGGCCGGCGCCGTGCCGCCAGGAGGCGCTCCGGCGCCGATCGTGCCGCTGCGCCGTGCCGAGCTGAGCACAGAGCAGAGCTCCAAGGTGAACGGGCCGGCTCCGGCGAGATGCCCGGGTACGACGGACGGCCACTCCCTCCCGTGGCACCCAGCGCTGGGATGCTATACTTCGGACACAGCTCTGCAGTGGTGGGGCACTCCGAGATGTGTCTGAAAGTGGAGCGCTGCTGTTGGAGGCTTCCTCTGCGTTTTTAGGCCTATTAGCAATAAGAATAGTTTTTCATAATTTGTATTTCATGACTTCGAAGCGTGCTTTCAGGCACAAGCTTTTTTTTCTGAACCACTAACTATCGGCTGTACCATTACAAACTCAGCTCGCCTCTCGGTATCGGCGAGGCTTCAGACTTCCCGGGACCAATAACGCTGGCCAGTCCGGCGGCCAGTCCAGCCGAGCCGGTCGGTGTAACACCCCAGTAACGTCATCAAAATGACCTCGCCGGACGCGGCCCCGCCCTGTGACGCAACCTGACGTGACCTGGTCTTTGTGACGCTGCTCCGTATGGTAACGTCCCCCACAGACTGCTTTGTCAGACGGAACCTGACGTGACCCCGGCATTGTGACGCTGCTCCGTATCGTAACGTCACCCACAGTCTGCTTTGTTGGACGGAACCTGCGTGATCCAACATCTGCAGTTTGCACCACTCTGCCGCGACTCTATCGTGGGCATGACGTCATTTAATGATGTCACCCGCCTGTCGCGGCGCCGTTGACTTGCCACTGTGTGCCGTCCTTTGTCCGGCTTGGTCCAGAGATGGTATCGGATGCGGGGAATCCGGCGGGGTCGTCCGCCTCTGACCTCTCCTCCCACGCTCTGCCTCACCTGCCTCCCACACTCTGCCTCATCTGTGACGTCACCACCTGATGCACCCAGAGGAGGAGCTCTTTGTCCTGGGTCACCGGGATTGCCTAATGTGTTTGCACACGCCTGCGAAATCCATCTTTGCCCTGTCAGGTGTCTTGCTCTCTGTTGGTTCGAAGACGACAGACGAAAATAATTATCTATCCCGACAATCAATTGTGACCGTCAGACATTACACCTATTTGTCAAAGACTCTACGATATATTCTATCATGTCGGCAGAGTTCAGCAATTAGCGTAATAAATAGCTTCAAACCACTTACCACTAGAACGAAGGTAGCTGTCAAGTTTCGAAACGGATTTAACCATGGAGACTGCAACTTTGCTACCGACATTAACCACTTTTGACTTTACCTTGACTGCCCCGCAACATATGGAGACTGCGACGCTACATTAGCATGTATCTCGATACTGTACCGCAACACAAAAAGACTGCAATGAAACAATGGCCTGTATACAGAGACAGACATACTGCACCGCAATACAGCGAGACTTCAACGCTGTGTTGGCTTCGACAGACAGGCTGTGCCGCAACACACAAAGACTTCAATGCGGAGTTGGCTTGTAACACTGCTTAACATCCGTGGCGCATGGAAACTTCAACGTCGCAGTGACAATATATTCCGATTCTTATGCCTAGGATAAACATAAAGCAGGAAATTGAAAAAGCAAGCAGATGCTTGCATTCAAGAGTCAGCTACTGATCGGAAACGCCATCTTTGCAGCGCGATGCATGACATGGTAAGACGGAAACACAAATTCTCGACGTATGCAATCTGGGCAATGTCCCAACTGTGCAATTTTCCGGTCCGTAGTGCCCATCGGTAATTAATGTTAAAGAGCGGCAAATATTATGAAACTCGGCTGGACATTGGAACAGCAAGAGTGGTTCAGCTCTATATGGTTAAGTTTTTTTTATTATCGGAGGTCTGTTCCGCTGCCCAGGCTGATTTAGTTCAGTGCCCATTTTACATGAAGTGAGCGTCGCGTGTTTTTGCCACGCTAACTATTTTTTCTGCCTGGATGCATGCTGATCAGCTAAAGTACTTTTCCATCCGCAAACTGTGTTTTATTACGGCAGGCCGAATATCTTGGTTTTCTGTTGAAGACGGCTAACTCACGGAGATCTCTGGTTGCCGACGAGGCCATCTTGATTGTTGAGGGAACTGCGCCCTGCCCGCTGCTGAATCTGCACGTTTCCCGTTCTTTCCACGAATATATTTTTCAGACTAGTGCAGGATAGCTTGCCCAACGTCTTCAGTTAACCTTGTCTATGACAAACTTGGCCAATTCGGCCGGTATTCCCTTTATAGTAGGTAGCTACAAGTGTAGCCGAATCTTTCCAACAGTCAGCGCACTTGCTCAGGAAAAGTTAAAATGAACTCGCCTATCAGACCTAAATCAGATGCTTTAACATCAAAGTACCTATTTTATTGACGTTCAAGTTAAATCAACATGTAACATGCCATGAAGAAATATGTTCATAGAGCTGAAACAGATTTCTTCATAACATATCTTTGACGACAACAAATTGTTATGTAATCCAGAACACATTTGATCCACATCAACAAAACCATGCGTATTCGTCAACGGGAGCTATGGGAGCTATCGGTTCTAACATAATTATCCTGATTCCGTTCCCGCGTCTGTGTCCCAGTAACCTAGCCGACAGGACTCCAGGTAATCGGTCCTTCCGCTGTCCGTCTCTGTCATACATAATGCCGTCGCCGAGCTCCCTGGAGCGTGACGGCGTGCGCTGACCATAGTCCACACCTCGGCGGCGCGAGCGAGTCGCCGTGCGCTCCCAGCGGCCGTGACGGTGACGGGACGGCCCGTTACCGCCCCCGATAGTGGTCGAGCCGCCGCTCCGGCAATATTTGTGTTAGTGGGAACCGCTCCCGCTGTGATAGACCGGCGCGGTGGGAGCCCGCGTCGGACCGACCGCGTCCGAGACTGAGCCGGGCGTTCATTCATATAAATTTACGGAGAACTGGCCGGCTGGATACACACAGTCGGACTTATTAGACTCAGAGTGGGACGCAGTCTTACATCAGACAGACAGACAGACAGACAGACAGACAGACAGACAGACACTGAAGACAGACATACTAACAAACGCACGGACAAATTCAGCTGGAGCTTGAAAGCGCAGCAGACCGAAATGCGGGTTTATTAACTACGCACGTCTCACTCCTCATAACGCCACTCACCTGAAGACGAATCGGCTGTTCCATACACACTTCAGAACCCAACCAGCCAACTTGGACTAGCGCTTATAGGCATAAGATTCTGGAATATCATGCCCATGACCTTTCATTAAACTAGCCTTTGGTTTGGCGATTCCCCAGTCCCGACCGTGACCTGTGGGACAGTCACCCATTGACCCCTGTGATGACGTTGGGCGTGGTGTGCCCGCTCGTTCGAGTGTGTCTCTAACAGTGTCAGGGTCGGGTCAGCGCCGCCCACGACACCACCGTGACCGATTGGTGCTGGCGGTGGTGACGCTCGCTGGTGCTCAGACGGCGGTGGGTGGTCGGTTGGGAGTGCTTGCCTCCGCTGGCCGGGTGGTGCTGGTGCCGGTGGTGACGCCCGCTGGTGCTCGGGCGGCGGTTGGGTGGGGTATCGTTACCACCACTGACCGGCAGTATCGGTTTCGACGGCCACGGACGGGGTAACGGGTCTCTGTGCGTCGCCCGGCTCGCTGCGGTGGTGTGCGCTGACCGGCGGGCTCGACCACACCGCGACCACCGCCATCCCTCCCACCCACCATCTGTTGTTGTGCCGAGCCGAGCCGGTGCGGTTCTCAGCCGGTACCATTGCCGCCCACTCAAATCTCGGCGGAGACGGCGACACCGCGGCGGCGACGGCGGCCGGCGCATGCGCGCTGGACGGTCTTCTGCTGTGGCCGGCCGGCCGGTCAGTCGGCTCGGTGCAGCGCGCGCGAGGGCATGGGAGCGGCCCAGTAGCCGAGCGAGCGACTCAGACAGTGAGCAGTGACCGTCCCGTCCGCCGCCGCCCGCTCTGCCACCATGGTGTCGCCAGCGCCGCTGCTGCTGCTGCTGCTCGGCGCAGTAGCCACTCACGGAAAAGGTAGGCCCGCTGCCCGACCCGGGGGCACCTGGCACTTTCACCTTGGGTGACCCCGGCCGCTGCAGTTGCACAGGCCCCGAACGGAGGGACGTTGCAGCGGGACTGCGTGCGGGCGCCGCCGGACGCCTCAGGGTGATTATTATGCATGGCCAACGGACAAAGGGGCAGCGCGGGCCGAGTGCCGAGGGCAGGGTGCCTCCGCTGGCTGACACACGAGGGGCCCCTCTGACTAGCAAACGTATAGGGGCCTCCGTTGGCTTTGCAGCTGATGTGCATACGTTGGCTTTACACACTGAGGGACCTACCAGGCCTTACATTGGGCGCTACGCTGGCTATACATACACGGAGGGCCTCCATACCATTGCCGCCCACCAAGCCCACCAAGGTAGTTGGATAGAGTCTGCCTGACACCTGAAGAAGGGATGTAGAGGTAAGGGAGCCTTCTTAGGAAAACAGAATGCCTGCCGAAAGGTCGGTTTGAATTTTGAAAAAGTCGTCAAAGAAAGGAAAAGTTGATTGATTATTATTGTGGAGAGCAGAAGGGAGATGTTTTATTAGGAGGCCCTTTATAGAATATCTCTGTACCCCCCCCCCCCCCACCACACCACCCACCCCCACCCCCACCCCCAGGTGAACACCGCAGCTCAGAGGCTTTCAATCTAAGTAGGTACAGATCGCTTATGTCTAATAACTTAACTTACCTTATCGATGTTAAATGCTTATAGTTGCGGTCCCTTAGCCCGTTTAGTGCCGGGAAAGGTGACTGATTTCTTACCTTTTTTAATGTTCCAGCGCAGCTTTTCGAACTTGAAACAGCGTAATAGATGTACGGTGTACATACATCAATTCCTGACACTTGTTATGGAGATCTAAACTATCTTCCGACTTCCCTAAAGCAGTCTCTATCCTCTTCCCCCACCTTGTTTTCATTTTTGTATTTTGCACCTGGAAATTAGGTATTCGTTTTAACCAATCGCTATGCCTCGAACATATGGCGTTTGGTTTGGTCTCTCATTTGGTCTCTGAGTCTGCAGGCTTCCGTACGTTTGGTCTCATAAAGCAAGAAAGGAATGGTTGAAGGTGTGATTTTTCTTTCTAGATGTGGAGCCCATTTGGCCGAAAGTTATTTTCATCAAGGTAGGTATTTGGCAAACTTGAATGCTCCAACCCACAACCAACTAGTTTTCAAGCTCATTTTACATACTTCAAGTATCAAAAGCATATAGTTACTTTGCACCGTTGCCTAGCTGTGTGTACAGTAGGTCTACAAAATAAGTCCTCTCCGTATGCGGATCACCAGCGGGCAGTTAGCGCCTGAGCGCTACTCAGGCGCCACCTGCCCGGATACGGAGAGGACTTATTTTGTAGACCTACTGTACGACTACGACTGAATGTCATTGCGCGCCATTCAGCGTAAATTACAACAAAAACGGCTCGTCACATGTCCATAACACTACGTGCAGCCGGGACCGGAAGCCCAAAACGCCGCCAATCACATAACTGGCGCCGTTTACGACAGTCATCTCGGCGTCAATCTTCTGAGTCGGTCACTAATTCTCACCGCCACTGTAACGGTTTGACGGTGTCGGAGCCGGCAGCGTGCTCTGCCGGCAGCAGCGGCGGCGGATGCCAGTTCCCAGGTCTGTGGGACGCCTGCTCTGGCCGGCTGCGCACCCTGCACGTTCACACGGTCCGGCCAGGCAGCCGCGAGCTGCTCCTCGGACGCAGATGCGGACGAGGTAATCTGGTCGACGGAGCGCGACGCGGACTGTGTCGGTCAGCTGCTGCTGGATGCTGTACATGGAGGTCCGGTTAGATCGCTAGTAAAACAGGTGCTGGACCCAGTGCAGGCAAGACTTGCAGCTCCTGAAAACAGGTGTTCAGTCTTCATGCAGTCTGGGATGGCTACATAAGGCAGGTGTTAAGTCCACTCCAAACTATGTCAAGGACATTCCGCAGCGCATTGCCTGTAAGCCGTTACATGTGCTGGTGAATCGCTATCGACTGCTGACAGACGATTGGTCCATCGGCACCTAAAAAGGAAACAGTTCGACGTTCCATCCGTCCATCGGTTTCAGTGGCTCTCGCAAAATGATGCAACTTGTCTCAAGTCTAGTGCAATTTCAGTGTGAGTTTTAGCCTCCACCACTCCTTCACCGGATTTTGGGAGACTCATTTTGGATTCATTTCGAATAACTCGTCCGTTTCCTCCTCGCATTCCTGCGCCAGCCACCCGACCTGAACCGTCCCCTCATTAAGACACGTATCAGTGACCGGCACGCGCCGCAACCCACGGCACGTGGCGCCGGCACCGTGTCGTTTTTGTCCCTGCCGCGGCTCGGTCGACCGGCGATCAGACAGGGAGGGAGGGAAGGCCTGTCCGACTGTCTGGCGCCGCTGCAGACCCCACTGCAGCCGTGAGAGCCGGCGCCTGGTCCGTCAAGTCGTGTCTGACCCGGACTGATCGCCAGCCAGGGGCGGCGCACGGCTCTGGAGGCCGGCCGGCCGACGGCAGAGGGGCGCTGCCGCCACAATCTGTCGGTCGGCAGTTACTCTCGGTATGTGGAGACGCCCAAAGAGTGGAGTCCGTCTGGGTCCAGCAGACAGTGGACAGTGGATATTGTCCGACCGCCCCCCCCCCCTTCGCCGCCGAGCGGCAGTCCAAGATACACCTCGGCCGGACAATGAACAGTGGGATACGCCGGGCTGGACAGCGGACAGCGGACATTGTCCGACCATCCCCCCCCCCCCGCTGTTGAGCGGCAGTCCAAGATACACCTCGGCCGGACAATGAACAGTGGGATACGCCGGGCTGGACAGCGGACAGCGGACAGCGGACGGTGGACATCGTCCGACTGCCCCCCCCCCCCCCATCGAACCACAGTCCGAGATACGGCCCGGCCGGACAGCGCCACAATGGCTTCCTGCTCATCGGGTGACGGCGTCCACAGCGGCTACTGGCGTGTTTCCGCCCGGGCCATCGGCTCCTCTCGATAACAAAGGGCGCCGGGCGGTGTGGGCGGCGCAGGGCGCTCTTTGTGCCGCAGATGTGCCGTACCCGGCGCGGCTCGGGAAGCCGTGCCTGGTTAACGGTGAGCCGGCCGATACGGCGCGGTTCTGCGCCGGATTTGGTGCCGGCCGCGCCGCCACCGCCGCCCTGGCCGGCCTGCAACCGGTCCGACCGGGCCACCGAGGACTTTTCTGCCCACGGCCGGTGAAAGCCGCGGCTTCGAGGTGCGGGCTGCACTGCACGAGCCGTCTGCTAAATAAGCCCCCTGGCTGAACATGCTCCATGTTGACTAGAAATATATACCTAAACCATGGTCACATGGCCACTCATCATCCTACATGCCTACCTTAGTCGAGCTTTTCTGTCTTACCTTTGCGACATCCCGAATTTTGTGTTGTGCGGTGCACGGTTGGGCTTCTGAGTAGGTAGATATATTTCGTCATACGTAATCCGCTTTTCTCTTTGTCCGATGCTAATTGGGTCGTTATTCGTTAACCATAACAATCCAGTATAAGATCCAGGTCATGCTAACTACCTATGTAGAACTGTCAGTACCTATATTGAATGGTTCATAATGGTGGGTACCTAACAACGATCTCGTCTAAATGGGTCAGATACCCGCAACAACAACAGTCATTATGACAATTACAAACAGCCTACCGCCTTTCTTCAGGTGTCTTACCTAATGGCTTGCTGCAATGTTCGAGGGGCTTTAGGAGTCGTGGAATTACGGAGTTGACCGGTCAGCTACCTCCTGGGAGCTCCATGGCTGACCGGTCGTGGTGTTCATATGAGGCTGACATGTCACCTCCCTCCGCAACCCGCAGCCTGAAGAGGTGACCAGTCGTTTCCCCCTCCTTCTCATGCACTCAGCTGGACCATATACCTGGAGTGGAACTATGCATACTTGACCTGTTGACTGCCGCCTCCCTCCTTCCCGCACACTCACCCTGGTCCTCATACCTGGAACCATGCATAGTTGACCTGTTGACTGCCGCCTACCTCCTTCCCGAACACTCAGCCATGGCCTCATACCTGGAACTGTGCACAGCTGACTCGTTGACTCTCGCCTCCCTCCTTCCTGCACACTCTGCCCTGACTACCATGCCTGGAACCATGCATAGTTGACCTGTGACTGTCGCCTATCTCCCTCCCGGTGCACTGGGGCTGGTAAACCGGTCAGTGGTCACTCAGTCCACCGTCCCGGTGCGGTATACTTACCCAAGGGCTGCAGATGGCCTCCATCGAGCGCAGAGAACAGTCTCGGCTCGGTGAACTAAAGGGACGGCCGCACACAGACACACAAACACGCCACCAATAGGGAAGGAGGACATTCAAACGGCGGCTGTGTCTGTGTGTGTGTGGGAACTGCCCTTGGCGGCCGTCGGACGACATCGAGGACGAACGGCCGCTCCGTTCCGGTCGACGGCAGACGGCCGTATCGAACAAGGAAAATACCGGCCTCTGTGAGATTTACACTGCGTGCTGTCGTCTTTACCCGGCTTAGCTGTGGCTGGTTTTGCTGTGAGGCATGGTTCGTCTTTACCCGGCTTAGCTGTGGCTGGTTTTGCTGTGAGGATAAGGCTGGTGTGGCTATTATATGAAATAGCTTTCCCGCGGATCGTGGCCTAGCGATAAGAAAAGGATAGATCTTAATTGCAGTCATGCCGATCACCTGAGGTTATGATCACGAAGTTGGACTCGTCAGTTCCTGTAATTGGGGCAAATTCCTCTTCAACCGTAAACAAGGTCATTTCCAACGGTCACGACAATAATCTGTGACTAGCAACGTAGCCGGCCTTAGCTGTCGCGGGAACCATCCGAAACTGTCATTCAAACTTTCTGTCCCTGAATCCCTCTCCGACGACAACCAGTTGCTTGTCAGCCAGCACTGTTTCTCCCGCGATCTGTCTCTCCCGTGAGCCGTCGGCCGCGGCACCCACAGACGAGCTGCTCTCGCCGGGACCTTGGGCCGAGAGCGTGGTGACGGTGACCGGCGGAGACGGGGTCGCCCTTCGACCCAAGGCCGCGGAGGCGCGGACTCGCGACCCGCGCCCCAGGCGGCATATCATTGGTCACGTCATCAGTTCACACAGGGCGAATCGTCATGACCGGTGGCGTTGGGTGTAGCATATTCACGGGCTAGTTAGAGGCCGTAAGACGTCAAACTAGGAGCTAAGACCATGCGGGAGCAGATGGCATAGTCACTATCGGAGTGACACGTTCAGTTCCTGGTGTTAACTAATTCCGTATTGGCCAGTGTTTCCGCGTCTTTCATTAGCACCCACGTGGTGCGTCTAATGACCGGTAGTTTTACACCCCTCGTCTGTATTCTGTCGGCCCTTCTGTCGTCGTTACGACAGCCCGCATGGTTCGGCCGGACGGTAGAAAGTACCGGGAGCCCTCGGTCCAACATCTGACCAGGCGGTGGTGGCTGTCCGCGACTGCCGAGTGTCCATAGTGAGTGTCCATGTATGTAATGAGTGTCCGCGGTGAGTGCACAGAGTGTCCGGGCATTGTCAGCCTAACGGCGGCACCCTAATTGCTGGCGAGCTCGGCCGCCCCGCTGCTGGGCCCCTCTGTCGGTTGGAGTCTACCAGAGACGGACGGGACAGCGGCGAGCGGCTGTATTGTTCGCCCGAGCACCCTTTCCTTGGAGATGACTGGCAATCAACCAATTACACGGCTACCGGCGGCTGGTTAACAGCCCCGGTTACCGTAATTACATGGCGAGTTTAAACGACTGAACACGCTGAAACACCGCCCTAAAGGTAACCACTCTCGAGAAGGGTTACGATTTATTTTGGAGAAATTTGATTGGGATTGCTAACGGATGGGCACTGCATTTCAAAGAGCGACTTCAGATGGGTATAGATCTCAATGGTAATGCTTGAAAGCAGCTTCCGCTATGATTGGTAAAATGGAACTGTTCCAGTCCTGAGTCCAGGTCCATTATTCTTTTCTCACTGTCGATATGTTTTTAATTCCTTTTGAGATAAGACGGATAATAATGATTCCATGTGGATGCTCAAGGCTGAAGTGCAGAATCTGTACACACCGTTTTCCTATCTCCAACAAAGCTTATCTATGTTTTTTTTCGTCCATACAGTTACGTTCACCGTTTTCTCTACCGACTACCTTTTTAGCTCAGCCGGCACTCGGGACTATTGCATTCAATGCTCGATCCTTCACGGGTAATGGAACGTCCTCGCCACCACGCTCAGTATCCGTGGGCTGTATCCCGCATAGTTGATGGATACAATGTTCCAGTATATCTGATTGATTGCCTACAATCTACATATTAATGAGTGAACCACAAAGAAGTCGCAATCGGTCTACCACTTACGAGTCTACCACTTACGACTTTGTACAATCAGTGAAGTCAGTAAACCAGGGTGAATATTTTTTTTTAATATGATCAACGATACAATTATGACACACGTGATGCAGCACGCCTTGTGGGGGCAGCGTTGGCTGACAGTCCAGCGAGCGACACTGTTGACTTACCTCCGACGGACATACCAGAATCTTGGGCGTCCTGTCATCCCGTTGGTGCTTTCATCTCCGGCCGCATCTAAGAACCGCGAGAGGTAGCAATGCGGGGGACTGGCACGCAGGCAAACGCAAACACAAACAAGTGACGATCAGCATACCAATTAGCGGTGACTGGCTCACGAGTTCCAAAGTTCATTAGGTGCATTCCAATATTCATCCAGCGTAAGCTGATCACTGAGTACCTACTAACGTTTTTTCATTCATTCTCTTTCCGACAAAACGTATGACACATTTTTATTAAGAAAGAACTGTGTTTTTCCCACTTGTAGAGAGCTAGAGCGGCGTTGTCGAGACCTGTGTGTTGGGGGCATGGTACTTTTCTCCGGTGTCACTCGCCGGCCCTCCCCGCTCCACTGACCTCTCCCTCCCCTCTGACCCCTTCTCCCCTCCTTACTGACCTCTCTGTCCCTCTGTTACAGCGCGGTACCGAATCGACTGCGAGCGGGAACACATGTACGCCATCGTGGACGTCACACCCAGCATGAAACAGCTCTACCTACACCGGCTCAAACACTTCCCAGGTATGTGCCATCTGAGTGTATGAGTGGTGCATTATAGCGGGTAGTTTGCACCGACCGGATACATGTTTAACTGAGATACGAAGTAACTTGTGACTGTAATCGTGATTTGCCTTTTCCGGTGCATTTCTATTCTGTTCCTGGCTAGGCACTAACTCAACTTTGTCGCTCACAGGCTGTGAACCGGATATGAGAAACGAAAAGGCTATATTCCATATCAATTTGGCAAACACCAACGATTTCAGCGCCTGTGGAGTTACCAAGATCGTCAACACTAAGACGGTAAGTGGGTGCTGATAGATCCATATACATTGTTCTATGAGCATATTTACACAAGTACACACTCTGTGCTCATTTTTCAGCTAACATATCTCATCTTTAGTAAGCAGCTCACACGAACGCATTCGTTTCTCAATACGCCAGTCTTTGATGCAATTGCTCGGATAATGCTTTCAGCTTTAGTTTTCAAGCTCATTTTACATACTTCAATATGTCAATCTGTCTTGTGTCGCGTTAGCAATCTTTTACAGTTGCTTTGAATCAAGCGTGCCTAAATATTTCATAGACATATTGTGAAAATGGCCTTTTTCAACTCTTCCTTTGTCCACAGTAGGCATTGTCTTGCTTTGTGATTTCTATGAATGGAAACCTCCTCCTCATGTTCCATTTCTGACGCGGAAGGAACAAAAAGCCCGTCACCATGGCCTGTTTCGGGCTGCCACCGGCGTGACTTTTTCCCGGCCCATTTCGCCGCCACCAAACTCTCAGTTCACCCCGTGACACACGTTACTCTCTCGGTCTACCCAGCGACACCTCCCTCACTCCCTGTGACCCTCACCCCTCGTCTCCGCAGGGCCAGAGGATGTACTCTCACCAGGTAGTGATTGAACACGAATCGGGAATGAAGGAGTCTCTGCGCCTGCACTGCGCGTACAACGGTAACGGCACCGTCCAGCACGAGGATCACAACATCGTCCGGCGGTCGCCGCAGGGAGACGGCTGGCCCAGCGGCTTCCAGGAGCCCGAGTGAGTGTGAAATGGCATTAGTAGCTTTTTATTATTATTTCACCTCAACCGGCAACCACAAAGAAGAAGGGGACGAGTAGTGGTTAAACACATCTACAATTTTACGATTAGAGCACACAATCGACACTTCAAGTGCATTGTTCACAGTGAACCGAACACTTGTGCTATCTTTGCGAGCTCTATCGCATAGGTCACACGCTTTATCCACCATACGAGTATAGCAGTAGGTAATCGACATAATTGACATCAATGTTGCGGCCTACGGCGCCTAAATACCCGGAAAATGTGCAATTCCGTCCATGAATTGTCTCAATGGCTGACAATTCGCGGCTCGCTAGTGCTATAATGTACAGGAATGTCATTTTTTCACAGCATGCACATTGCACCAGCAAATCACATAAGGCAAAATCGGCTTCCTCATTTACCGCATCAACGCATGTGAAATCCGCGGTGACATGTTATCGCTGCCATTCTTTGTGACTTGCCACCGTGTCTATTCCCTGAGCCGTGTTGTCACTGCAGTTCCTTGTTGGCTAGAACGTGAATGTGCGGCGCCCACGGCCGTGTCTGAGCGTCACCGCAGCATCGCGACCTCTTCGCCCGTGGAGCCCGTCCCCACCGCAAGCACCTCGTGTGGGCTGGATTGTGGGGAGGTCGGAAGGTCGCGGCCCCTGACCCCGGAAAGGTCATCAACAGGAAGACCGCTATACGCTCCAACAACAGAGGAACGAGGTGGTGGGCCGCAGCACGCGCCCCGCCGCGACAACAGCAGAAAAACGGACCGCCACTTACCCGATCGGCGCGGCAGATAGGAGGCCGCCTTCAATAGCGTCGCCGTCCCGCTGGTGGCCGTGAACACTGGCGTTATCACCCGCTGACAGCACTATCAGCCGGTGGCCTGTATTCCCACACCCAGTCAGCACCGGAGCGGGAGAAGACACGGCGGTGACACAACCCCGCGGACACAGTGTCGGGCCGGCGTGACATCTGTGTCACGCCGAGCCGTCACGCCGCTCTCACGGCTGGGAGTTGGCCGCGTGGCGACCATTGTCGGGTGACGTGACGTCACCGCCGGCTGCAGCGTGGTCGGGTGCTACCGGTGGGACGGGACGGCTGCTGTACGGTGGAAAGTTTCGATACGGAACGAAGGATAAAGTCGAGTCTCTTTAGACGTTGACGCAATCCACTTTTGGTATGTTTCGGTGGGTCGCACAAGGCACATGCAGGACTACAGGTGACTATGGAGACCGGAGCCACTATCGGTGGACGACTATACTATCGCACCGGGAATGAGAGACTGATGAATATTGAGTCATCGCTCCTAGAGGTTGTCCCTAGTAGAATCTCTAGCATGACCGCGCACTATCTAGAGGACTACCTAGTGCATCGACAGCTAGTGTAGTATCGACACATCAAGCCTTAGTTGTGAATAAACGCGACACAGTCACCGCTGTTGCCACCTCCCTCCGCTTACACTGCCGTCCCCTCCCACAAGGTAAACACTAAACACAGGCGTCCGCTGCGCGTTCTACGGTACTTGTTCGGTCGGCGGCGCTCGCTACATAGTCAGCTATTGGTGGACTGCTCCGGGACCGCTGTGTCAATCCAGCGGGTCAGCGGAACGGCGGTTGACACCGCAGTCAGCCCGAGTTGGCTTGACCTGACCTCAGAAGCAGAACTCTGGCTCTGACTGTGTTGGGTGTGTGCGATTTTATTGCCAGACTATTGATCTGCTATATGGTATCGCTACTGTTTTTTGGCTGTCGTGGTAACTGTTTCCACCGCCTGGCCCTGGGAATGATGTTAAGTCTGCACTACCAATAGTCACGCCCATTGTGCATACAGGTCATCTGAACTGTCCTTACGCCATTGTGTCTTCACAGTAATTCGATTGTCTGTTTTGTCCTCTGAATGCAGTTCTCCCCGCAGTCATGTCAAATACCAATAACCGAGCTGTCCGTTCTGTTCTCTGACAGTGCTGCTTCCCCGTAGGATCCTGGAGATCGCCCAGCAGGTCTTCTCCTGGCCCAGGAGATACTCTACTGTCCTGTCTGTGATCTAGCTGTAGTGCACACCCCGCAACACAGGAGACACTACTCTCCTGCCAGTTATCTGACTGTATTACTTCCCACAGTTACCTGACTATATTAGGCGTTCAGTGTTCTGCCGTCCGACTGTAAAACTTCCCTCCTGAGGATCCTGGAGATCACGCAGGAGGTATTCTACTGACCCAGGAGATACTCTACTGTAACGGTCTCTCCTGTCCCCTGACTGTAGTACCCCCCCCCCCCCCCCCACCCAGGATCCTGGAGATCACGGAGGAGATCACGGCCACGGCGCCGGAGCCGGTGCTCGGAGTGGTGGTCCGTCAGGACGGCCAGGAAATCGACACGTCGCTGAACGTGCGTCCCGGAGCGCCGCTCGACATGGAGATCTCGCTGGACGACAACTCGTCCAGCACGTACGGCATCATCGTCAGCGACATGATCGTCAGCGATACTAGGAAACAGGAGGAGCTGCTGCTCACCAACGGGTGGGTATGCGGGAGGGGAGAGAGATAGAGAGCGAGAGAGAGAGAGGGGGGAGAGATGGAGAGGAGGAGCTGCTGCTCACCAACGGGTGGGTGTTGGGGATAGAGGAGGGGAGGTGAGGAGCTGCTGCTTACCAATGGGTGGGTGTTGAGGAGAGGGGAGAGGGGAAGGGGAGGGGAGGGGAGGGGAGGAAACAGGAGGAGCTGCTGCTTACCAACGGGTGGGTGTGTAAGGGATAGAGGAGGAGATGTGAGGAGCTGCTGCTCACCAACGGGTGGGTGTGGGGATAGAGGAGGGGAGGTGAGGAGCTGCTGCTTACCAATGGGTGGGTAGGTGTGGAGAGGGGAGGGAAGGAGGGGAGGTGAGGAGCTGGTGCTCACCAACGGGTGGGTGTGCGAGAGAGAGAGAGAGGGGAGGGAGAGGAAGGGAAAGGAGAGAGGACAAGAGGAATTGGCCTAAGGAGGATGTGGGTCGATGGGGTGGAAAATGACAGAGTGAGAGATTCATAGGAGAGATGGAGGACGTGAGGTGAGGGTTGAACTGGAACGCCTAGGGTAAGATGACTTGCTGTTACGTGTTTCGTTTTCATAATTCACCATTAATCTCCATCCATTTCTAATCATCATCTGCCACCATTGTTGACCCTAATAACCATATTATTGTACTCCGCTTCATTGAAGTTCTGAGCTATATTTGGCTGCCTCTGTCGGAGGCTCATCATGACTCAGTTAATGATCTTGCTATTGTACGCGAGTCTTAATTAATTCCTGAGACAACAGGACAGGAGTGTAAATCATACTGATAGACAACTTTATTGCTGGGTGCTCATATTCTTTTGTGTGAAACCACATTGTGTAACGCATCATAGTTCGGTGTAGTTAACTTCTAAACCTCATTTCAGATGTTCCGTGGATCCGTACCTGTTTGGGAACTTTGCCACCGAGACTGGCGACAAGCTCAAGGCCAACTTCCGGGCGTTCAAGTTCCCTGAGACCAACTACGTGCTCTTCAAGGGCATCCTGAATGTGTGCATTGACGTCTGTGAAGGGGTGAGTTCCGGCTGCTGTCGGCGGGCCACGGGTCACGGCGACTCTCACGCAGACTCACCGACATCCGCGCACAGTGCACTTGCAGTAGGCGGGAACTGTGGCCTGGTAACTTTCAACAGTTCCATTACCGAAAAGCACAGATCGCGATCGCGAAATAGCCGTCAACCGCCAATCACAGGCATTTTATCATGGTGGCTTATAAGTTATATGTAGTATCATTATCAACAAGAACACTCCGTTATCATACAATTTGCAACTCGGTTTTACCATATTCGGCAGTCAAGACGGATTTTTTCAGTAGCTCTTAATTCGATGCCCCTAATCGAAGTATCATCCGTAACGAAAGAAATACCAGTTATTCATCAGAAGTCTCATAAATGGCATGGTAAAGATTGACCCTACTCGGCGATTCGTTTCTGTTTTGTTTATGTATTCCATTGTAGTCTCTTGCCATTAGTTTAGATCGCTACCTGTTATCGCCGAGACATGGAGAGATGAATTATACCGCAGGGTATATTTTGGTGCTGAGTAGTGTGGCCACCATTAGTGCGCAGATATTACAGCGGGAAACCGCAAAAAAGCAAGACAGTGTGGAGACTGCGACAGAACACAAACAGCTAACACCAGATGGGCGCGAAGCAGACATCGAGCAGGATTAGAGTAAATGTATAAGACTCTCCAGACTTCTCGCTCATTGTCACCATAGTTTACCATTGTTTACGTTATTTTCCGCGCTTTGCACAGCGGTCACCACTCACCAGTCTGTTCGGCTGCTCCCGAGCTCCCTTCCAGGCGGTATTCAGGTCATTTGTGAGCCTCCTCTGCCTGCTCCCTCGCTCCCTCCCCCAGCACCGTCATTGGCCAGTGCCGATTTCAGTCACTCTCTGGGAATGTCGGACCAAGTCAGCCTGTTTAGCGGCTCTCCCTCCCTCGCTCTATCCTGGCGGGGCGGTCACGACTGCCCACGCTCCACCTATCCGACCTTGGCGGACCAGACCTGGCCGGGCCGGGCCGATATACCGGGGCGGGGGCGGGGGCGGCGCCCTCTGTCAGCGCCGCCCGGGCGGCTGCCGTGCCGCTGGTGGGCGGCCGTGGGCGGCGCAGCCCTTATGGAGCGGCCCCGGCGGCCCACGAACGACCCACGGCGGCACGGCACGGCCAGCATCGCTCACAGGGAGCGGCACGGGTTCCTGGAGGCGCACAGTCACCGGCTGGGGAAGGATACAGGGATGCGAACTGTAGGAAAACCCAAGGAACTGCTCGTGGTCTCAAGCCTGAAGTGCAGCTTCTTCTGCGTTTTTCTCATTGAGGATGAGCTTGTGTCCTGCGATTCAAAATGGGCTGAAGTAGCGACTTTAAACTAGAGTTTGGCGTTACGGTCTGCACTTTTAAACGGAGTGTGACACATTCTCCAGTCTTGCCTTGACCAGCATAAGCCCGATGAGCTGTGCAGAGACCTGACTGATCCAGTGAACTAAGGTGAACCTCAGACCTGTTTTGTCCAGTAACTTCAGACATTGTCCTTGTGTAATGATTCGGAGACCTGGCTGGTCAGCCGATGTATTTATTGTCCAATGAACCGCAGACTGGTATTGCGGGACAAGAATGTGTCTGTCGAAAAGGAGCCGGTCCTGTAGTCAGACCTGTGAGCCAATCGCGGAACTATGTGTAGGTACTGCTTTGCGGTTATGAAACGGTAAATATCTGATTGATCGCATCATCAAGCGACTATGTGGCCTACAGGTCAACCCACAGATTGACAGGTCAGAAGACTGTTGTTTGTTTCTAATAGACAAAACAACAATAGCAGGACCTATGGATCTGCGACCCAGTTTAACCTCGTCTTCAAACAAGTAGCTCTGGAAACACGGCTATTACAGCCATACTGGTTAGGAAACAGCACAATAAAACAACCCTAGATCATAGTTGTCCCTGTCACATTGAAAGCTTCGACAATGCAATTCATTGCGCAACACACATAGGAAAATCTGGCCTGTTTTGTAACATCTTTGAGTGATTGCTGGCAGCGCCTCCATTGTAAGTGCATAATTAAACCGAACTGCCGGCATTTTTGCACACAAAAGTCGTTGGAGCTGAAATGTTAACTACCTTTCTGTCAATTATGTAATGGCTCATGTCATGATATTAGGCTGGTGTGACTGGGTTCTCGGCTTAACCGTCTCTACAAATAACGCTGTAGTCCATGGTGTGCGCATAACTAGCCTGTTGAGAGAACCACGGTCTGCAAACTACGTACTGGCACTTGACGGAGCAACAGCCCGGCTAATTTCAGCCGGTCAGTGACGACACATTAGCGGTAGGTCAGAGGTCGTTGGTCTGGCAACTAGAGACCGTTACTCTGCAACATTAATCAATAGATCTTAATTAAAGATCAGCGCTTGTTGGGAATATCGGTTTCCTATAGATCAGCGTACCTACAGTTCCCTGTATTCTGCTCCCCGCGATTGCGGAATCGCTGCCCCCAGTGTGCATTACTCCGTGGGCGGCGGTCGCTCCCAGTTTGGTGAGCTCGCGTTGGCGGACAGGTTCTGGCACCGATCGGGGTTCGCCCGTGCTGGGGAAGCGCGGTAAAAATGGCCCCGACAGACGGGTTTCGTAAGGAGTGGAGGAACACCGGAGTGCGGCCAACGGGAAACGCTGCACAGTGCAGTGCGCAGTGCACAATCTCATAGTCGATGCAGTCACAAAATCGTTACCCATTCCCCCCAAAAAAAAACTGGGTAACTATTACCCACAAGGCTGCTTTTATCATCCAGTACAGAAGGCGATTTCGCAGCCGAAGTAAATTCAACGTGGAACGGATATTTGGAGTTACGGAAGGCGTTGATGGGATGTGCCTGCCTCCTGTAAATAATGATCTTACCCGATCCGTGCTTCGTTCTCGGCTGCAGTGATCTTTGAGGTAGGTTGCTGGGTGTAACACAAACAGTGGCCTGACCTGACCCGTCCCTCCCTTAGGTGCATAGCAGTATATAAAAGCTAGGTGGGGCACGGCTGATGACAGTGACCTGACCTGACTTTCACCGCCCCCAGTTGCAGACTGCAGTGTATAACGGATAGGTGGTCAACGGCCGTCTGTGGTGACCTGACCTAAGGTGACGTGACCTGATCCGACCTCTCCCTCCCCAGATGCAGTGCAGTGACGGAGAAGTGGGCTATGGCCGGCGGTGACCTGACCTGACCTGACGCGACCTCTATTTTCTCAGGCGCAGTGCAGTAACGGGGAGGTTGGCTACGGCCGCAGGCAATGACCTGGCCCGACCTGACCTGATCTGACCTGACCTGACCTGACCTGACCTGACCTGACTTGACCTGACTTGACCTGACATGACCTGACCTCTCCTACCCTCAGGCCCAGTGCAGTAACGGAGAGTTGGGTTGCGGCCGCCGGCAGTGACCTGCCCCTTCCCTCGCCCATAGGTGCAGTGCAGTAACGGAGAGCTGGGTTACGGCCGCCGCCGGCGTCGCGCCGTCACTCCCAGCAGCGACCCGAACCAGGTGTTCCAGGTGGAGATGAGTACCATCCTCAACGTCCAGTTCGAGGACGCCGAGACCAACGTCAAGGCCGGTAAGACGCCGTGATCGGGCCGGGTCAGCTTTTTTATCTTTTTACTCTCTTGCACAAGGAATGAATAATAATGACGTCTCAGCACAGGTTGTCTTTATTGTATATGTTACAGGCAATGAATGGAATCGGGAATTCTTCTGTGCTCCCCTTTCACGTTTACGATTACTTGTATCACGGTAACAATAGGTAGCAAAACTTAACAAGCCGTCTTGAGTCCTGGTGCCATTTTACTTCGGTTTTCTGATATTCGTGTAGGGGTTTGTTTGTCGCCGGCTTTTAGGGAAGAACACGTTTGATCGCCGTGTCGTTAGCGGTTGGGCATTTTTATAGGGTTTCATCATCTGTCCGCCTGTCTCGTATGTGTGCCGTGCTGGCCCACCTATCCCGCCTGTGTGCCGTGCTGTTCTGCCTATCCCGCATGTGTGCTGTGCTGGCCCGCCTATCTTGTCCACTATCCTTTGTGCCGTGCTGACCCGCCTATCCCGCCTGTGTGCAGTGTCGGCTCGCCTATCCCGCCTATGTGCCGTGCTGTTCTGCCTGTCTCGCCTGTCTGTGTGCCGTGCCGGCCGGCAGACGAGGCCGGCATGACATCTGTCTGCAGTCCACGTCTCTGCCCGCAGGTTTCATTGACGCCGAAGAGCCCTTCTCAATCGGCTACGTCGATCCCCTGACCTACTTCGCCGGCCGGCGCGGCGAACGGGGCGTCATCTATAGCTCAGCGCCGGCGACAATAGTACCAGCAACGGCCGCCGCCCTCCTGGTGGCGCTGCTTGTAGCTCTGTAGGCGGCCGCGTTTCAAGCTGGATGCGTTGACTGGGATTGTCCGTGGCATTTCGCCACTAGAATCTTCGCCTTCAACATCCGAGTGAATCCATCTTGGCGCAGCTTTAAGTTATTTTTAGTTCATCGAACCATAAATCAATAGTCTTCCATAAGGATCTGGTCTCTCGCTTATTCCGATGGAAGCTAACATCGTTATTGTAGGAACCTGTTCGGTTATTCAACTCATTGCATTTTGGCATAATTTTCTACCAGTCTGCCGGGTATCAGACGCATACGTCCAAATCGTCAGCTGGGTTAGTTCCGTCTCTGAAGTGCTGTGCTAATGCAGGCGAAATTCTAGCTAGCGTCGGAGCATAACGACTAGTGGAAGCTCCCGACTGGCCTTAGTGTAAGCATCACTCACACAGACTCGGTAAGAGCAATAACCGTGCCTTGTGTGGCTGCCGATCCTTCGGCAGCTGCCCTGGAGTGAGTGTCTTACTGACAGTTAACAGAGCGCCACAGCGGCGACATGGAAAATGTGATATAGCGCGTAGATTGCTGACCTCAGCGGGATTTTCGTAAGCCGGCCGTCTCGGTTTATTAGCAAAGCACATGAATGACGCGAGTCCGACTGGTCGCTGCGGCCTGTCACTCAGCTGGCTCATTACTGGCGCAGCTAATCCGAACGGTGGCGAATATGGCGCGGTCAATCCGAGCAGAGACGAACGCGGCGCGGCGAGCGGCCCCGGACGTCACGTGACCGGTTCAAGTGCTGTTGTTGCCCCGAACCGCGCCTGGCGCCGGCTGGCCGCCCCCACACGTGCAGACACACACACAGGGGCGCACTGGACCGTCGCCGTCGCTTCCTCGCGGTGCGGACGGCGGAACGGCCGGCCTGTTGTGTGGTGCGCGTGTGTGCCGTGCCGCCTGGAGTCCCGGGTCGCGGGCAGGCGGCGTCCCCGACACGAGTGTGACGTGCGTGAACTAAACGGACTGGAGCAGTGATGAGAGTGGTCATTACTACGTTGTGTATGTAATGTATGCCCTGTGTATCTAATGCATTATGTACCATTGAAGGCTTACTAACAAATAAATACAACCATAAACACTATACGATTTTAAATGCACTGGTGACGACGAAAAATCAATATGACGAAAAAAAAAATCAAAACTGGCGCATTCAAAGAAATATTTATCGTAGAACAGCGTTGCGAAAGTATTCCTTGTGCCGCCCGCAGGCGCATATGCCTTCAACGATTACATAGGAAATAGGTAACGTCATTATCGGCTTTATAGATACCGGAGCACCTATTCCCACCTCGATTTTCGCTCACAATAGCTTTGTAGGGTTATCTGCTGTATTGTGTCTTGAAAAAATATCTTGCATTATTGGTGTTTTAGCTACATGGCGTACCTTTATCTAGCTAGAAGTGTGAAATTAGGACAATAATCCTGAGAAGCGAGTCAACGCCATATGAATAAAGAACCGCTATTTTGTAAAACAAACACGGTGGCAGAATAACTGAATTTCTCGCCGTCTTTATGACGCCGAATCTGTGAGACAGCATCTTTTCATATTCATCTGAGGCACCGACTCCCACATAAAACTGAGCAGTAGACTGCATAAGAAGGACGATGGTCATACAGCCACTATAGGTGGGAGCTGCGTTTTGTGATCAGATTCCGCTACGCTAGCGAAGGGATTTTCATTCATTTGGTATGAATATCGAGTTGTGCGGTGTCATGGCCGAAACTGCGAATCAATTGCGACAATCATTGCCTATCACTACTTCCTTGCAATGCCGGGTAGCATTTCACACGCCATTGTGGTTGTCTCAGCTGTTTTATTTATTATTTCGATAACACACAGTCAGCCTCGTGTGCATATTTACATCGATTCGTTCCTATTGTTTCTAAATATTACGAAAATATTCGCACGCTTTGTATCACCTTGTCATGGTCTGCAACGAATTACGGGAAATATTCGAAGTAAGGACTGCGAGCCCGTTCCACACACAGAAAAATATTAACACCGTTAGCGGTGTAATTGCACAGTACATATCTGAGCACCTGAGGAAAGTTAATTTAGTCCCTTCCCCGCTTAAATTACTCGCGCTTCTAAATGAACACCAGGAAGAAGGTAATAGAACACTGTTAGGAGGGTTGGGTGTTTTACTACATGTAGCAAAACACCCAACCCCCCTAACAGTGTTATATTACCTTCTTTCTGGTGTTCATTTAGAAGCGCGAGTAATTTAAGCGGGGAAGGGACTAAATTAACTTTCCTCAAGTGCTCAGATATGTACTGTGCAATTACACCGCTAACGGTGTCAATATTTTTATGTGTGCACTGAATTCTGATCGTCGTCCTGTGAATGAAGCTATTGGCGTCCCACACTGCAAACAAACGTCATCCTACATAGCTCCTGAACACTTTTCGCCTCCCACGCGCTGCACATTGTCCCGACATGGACTAATCCGAGTCCGGGAGAACTGGGTCGATCGCGTCAGTTCAGGTCTGACTGGATCAAACCACGGCAGACCGAACGGGTGACTGACCGGACCGGACTGAATTGACGAGCTTAGCGCAGACCTGACTGGCCGAAATTAATGATGTCACGGCTATTTACACAAGGTTTGTGCCTTGGCCAGAAAATACCACTTGTTACATACCGACCGCGCATGATTATTAGCTGGCACGCCGACGTTATGTTATGGAGATCACCGCCGCCTCTGCCGATCAATAGCACCAATCCACCCACTGACCGGCCCACACGCAGACTGGTCAGCGGCGCTTTTCTCCTCCCGGTGAGAGCCCGCGCCGTTTGTCATCAGGCCTGGCACTTGGGCCGCGCTATGCTCTTACGCTCTCGATAAACACTCGCTCCCCGGAGGACGTCGTCGCGAAAGGCACCAGATGCAGGATTGTCCCACTTCTCGTTTCCAAAGCCAGCACCTGACGACAAGCGGAACATGCAAGATTGCATTTTTGTAGCAGGTAGCTAAGCAACAAACACTAAAAGATGACAGGATTTCATGAGTTTAAATTAACGCATTGAATCACAAAAATAGCCTTTTGCACTCCGTTTACATTGCACACGCATTAATAACAATGACTTGCGATGGGTATAGGTTCCTCCCCAATGAACTCCTCCATACCTCATCATCTCCGACCGGCATCTGCTGGGTCCTTCTGACGCGCGGCATCACCTTCATCGTTCCCGTGTCAGTGAAGAACTGGGCGTCGATTCGGGCCAGCTGAACCAGCAGCAGGCACAGGATCAGTACTGGAACGGAACCAGACCGAACATCAGCAGACAGTGGATCAGCACGTTGGAAAGAAAGCCGACCGAATTTCAGTCAGTCGGAACACCAGCAGACATAAGACTAACGTTCGAACGAAAGCCCACCAAAAAAGAACAGAAAATAGATCAGCACTGGAAGGGAAACAGACCGAAAACTGGCAGGCATAGGACCAACACTGAAACGGAAACAGACTGAAAACTAGTAGGCATGTGACTGAACGGAAACACACAAAAGTGAAGCAGATTCACAATTAGCGGCGTCGTGGGCACGGGCTTCATTCAGGTAATTGGACTTTGGACAAAGAGCAGATCGATGTGTATTAGGTGGTGACTTGCACAAAATGATAATGAAGCGTTGCCGTTAAGTGGTATTGCCTCTAAATCCACTTAATAATTTACTCATGTTAACGAGAACGAATTCATGTTTGTCGCTGGTAGGCGTGACAATGCTAGATATAAATAATCCTCTCAATCAATCGCCCTAAGCGGATTTGTCAACTGAGAATATTTGCCGATATTTAACCCGCGCATGACTGGGGTATTTTCCATAACGCGGGTGACTGGGGGGGGGGGGGGTCTCCAGACCCCCCCCCCCCCTCCTAACTCCGAAACCACTGCACAGTGGGGATTTTTCCGATCTAGCACGTATTTATTCGTAGAGGGCAAACCATAGGTAGAATTGTAGCCAGATTGTGCACAGATGTTGGCTGGTGTGTCCTGGTGAGAATTTTACCTGTAAATGTGCATAATCAACATAGTATAGGGGGTTCAATTGAACCCCCCGCTCAGCCGTTTGGCCCCTGATCAAGCTAGAGCTTCGCGGAAAAGTCAAGCGTGCTGCCTATGACGAAATTAGGCCGAATATATCCAATTTTAAAGTCCAAGGTCATAAGCTGACTTTCCAAGTCAGTTTAATGACCCAACTAAAGTTGGGAAATCGAGACCTCTTGAAACTTCGCAAAGTTAGGGTGTTACGGGGTATTTTGGGGTGCTGATCACGAATTTCATGTTAGTTTTGATCACAGACGATGTCTTTATGCATTTAGGCCAAGTCGGGTCAGGTCAGGTTAGATCAATTAGTAGGCGTCCTGCCGGCCATCCATAGAAGTGTCACCTACTACTGATAGCTTCGTAACATGGAACGAAGGCACTAGAACTACTTCGTAAATATTCAAATGGCTGCTAAAATCGAAATCAGCACCAAAAACGAGTAGTAAAGTAATATTGCCAAAAACTACCCTAGAAACAAGTAAAACTCGAAAAAGTGAACCAAGGTCATCAAAAGGTCAATGACCTTGACTTGACCTTCACGTGACCTTGTCACCCACCATTATGCATGGCACCAACATCATTTCACATATTTGAACGTTTAAAACCACAAAAAGACTGGAAACTGCGGATAATGTGAGCTGGCATACGCCGAATCGCGATTCCGGCCAAACATGGTCTCGAGAAATATGCCACAGGTCAAAGGTCAGTTGGGTCAGAGTCATGAAATTTTTAGGTTAGATGTCAAATTGATGATCTCGAGGGTACCGAAAGTTTCGGCGCGATCGGCCGCTTTTTGCGCGAGTAATTTGCGGAAAACCATGGGGTTTTATCCGACCCCTTTACCCTCCCCCTCCCCACAAGTGCGATGGTTAATAAGGTTACGGTATGTATAGTTTACGCTTGTCATCCTATTCCTAATGAATGTGTCTCAGAAAATATGCATCATATAAATCACGAAGTAAAATTATTCGCCTATGTCCGGAACATACCTATATCGTGCTGTTTGCCCTAGCGCTCCTCGAGTGGGGTGTTAAGATACTCTACTGTGAATATTCCGTGTTCAGGCAAGTTTCGGCAGCCAAACTAGGCGTTGTCTTGTGCAGAAGAAAGTGGCGAATTCGATAGGATATATTTCGGAGTGGAAAAGTGTGGAGAACATTGTTGATTTCCTACATTTATTTAGAATACCATTCCTTCAATATGGTGTCTGTAAGGGTTTTTTTTTGTAAAGGGCATTTTTGTGACCTTAGTAAGGTTGTGGCATACTTTCTGTTTGTCATTCCATTCCTAATAAAGGTGCCTTTCAGACGATATGCAACTTTAAGATCTCGCAAGATTAAAACCAACAGGACAGGACAATGAAATTGAGCTATACTTTCGGGCCTTGCTGAGCCCATTGAGTAATCACGCATGAGTGTGAACTTTGGGCGCATTTTTCCTAGTTTTGCTGTGGACATACAGATAAAACAATGCCATATATGAAAAATTCAGACATTTCTTAGCCCTACTGACACAAAAAATAAACAAAAACCAAAAAAATATTTTTTGAATTAATAGGAGCTAGATCGGAAAAATCCCCACTGTGCACTGGGGCAATCGTCAAAATTCAAACGGCGTCTGATAGCCCTGGAAAAACTATCGAACGAACCCTATTTTCATTGACCTCGAGGTCACTGATGAAATCACAGGTCAGGTCAAAGTAAAACTTATCGGCATTTTTGCTTGTTCACAATTTAGGCTCTGGCCGCCGGCTGACAAGTCCGATCAGGCTCATTATTGGTTTACGCACTCCTTGATATATGCCTTAGATACCTTGAGGGTACCGAACTTTTACTTCGAATTTTTCAGGTCAAGACCAGGTCATCCTAGGTCACGAAAATGGTATGTCAGGTACCGGTCAGGTGACGCATGTTGTATGGTCCATTTTAACCCTCGCCCCGCCGCTGGGGGGTGGGGCCAATTTGTCCCCTCCTCCCTGTGGTTTTTCCTAAATAGCAAGAAAACGGCGGCGCGTAGCGCCGCTAAATTTTCAGTA